TTACAGTCTGGGACGTCCTGGTGATATCAGGGTGAGGGAGGGAGCGGGTGTGAGATATTTGAGTATTGCTGTAGGGACTATGTAAACCAGCAAAGTGAATTTTGTTTGGGTGTGAGAAAAGCTGGATTGTGTAAAATGATCTCCTTTTTGTTGCGCAGATGCTGACTGACTCTGCTGTGTCAGAGTAATATAGTCAAAGCAATTTGAGTCTTTTGCTTAGCCAGGTAATGCCCATTTATCCTGTACATAGAGAGCGAGTAAGTTGGTAAATTCAGACCTGTATTTATGGCCCGTCTCTAGTTCCCCCCTTGAGAAGGTGGGGGTGAGCTGCTGCCTTGACCCGCTGCAGTTCACCTGCTGTGGGTAGACCCGCAATGCCCTTAGGGAGGGAATTCCAGGATTTTGACCCAGTGACAGTGAAGAAACAGCGATATATTTCCAAGTCAGGATGGTGAGTGGCTTGGAGGGGAACTTGCAGTGGGTGGTGTTCCCATGTATCTGCTGCCCTTGTCCTTCTAGATGGAAGTGGTCGTGGGTTTGGAAGGCGCTGTCTGAGGATCTTTGGTGAGTTTCTGCAGTGCATCTTGTAGATAGTACACACTGCTGCTACTGAGCGTCGGTGGTGGAGGGAGTGGATGCGTGAGGATGTGGTGCCAATCAAGCGGCTGCTTTGTCCTGGATGGTGTCAAAGCTTCTTGAGTGTTGTTGGGGCTGCACCCATCCAGGCAAGTGGGGAGTATTCCATCACACTCCTGACTTGTGCCTTGTAGATGGTGGACAGGCTTTGGGGAGTCAGGAGGTGAGTTACTCGCTGCAGGATTCCCAGCTTCTGACCTGCTCTTGTACCCACTGTGTTTATGCAATGAGTCCAGATGAGTTTCTAGTCAATGGTAACCCCCAGGATGTTGATGGTAATGCCATGGAATGTATTTTGTTATCTACCTTCCTCTTGTTATATGCTACAAAAATAATTTAGTCATTGACAAGTTGACTTATGGGCTCAGAGTTGTTGGAATTCTCTGCTTTTGAGGGCTGTCTATGCTTCACCATTGAGTACATTAGAAGCTAGGGCACTCAGAGTTTTGATGCCTTGGGGAATAAGGGGCTTTGGAGACTGGGTGGGACACTGGAGGTGAAGCTCCACAATCTGCCAGGCTTGGAGGGCCGAAGGGCCTGTTCCTGTGCTGTAATTTTCTTTGTTCTTTGTTCTTTGTTCTTTGTATTCAGTGATACAGCAGGCTCAATGAGATGAATGATCTTCTGTAAACAACAGATTTCCACCTGAGTGTACAGTGAGGGAGAATCCTGCTCTAAAACCTCTCTGAGCATACACTGAGCACCTCCTCGAAGGCTAGCCCCCACCCCGCCGAAAGAACATGCCCCATGGGCAGTCACTCCTTGTAACGCCCAACCATCAGTCACGCTACTTGCTTTCCTCAACAGCCATAGAAATGATACAATGATACAGCATTAGAAGAGAGCCATTCAGCCCATCTTGTCCATGCTGATCTGAAGAGGTGCAGGTGCCCTTTCTAATCCCATCTCCCCGCACATGGCCCATAGCCCTGCAGCTTACAGAACTTAATGTGCAGATCCAGGTACTTCTGAAAGAGTTTAAGGTCTCTGCCTCCAGCACCAACTCACACAGTGAGTTCCAGACACCCACCACCCTCTGTAAAATAAATTCCCTTCATGTCCCCTCTACCCCTTCTGCCACTGAGCTTGAATCTGGTTTTTGAACTCTCTGCCAAGGCAAACAGGTTCCTCCTGTCACTCTATTCCCACCCCTCACTATTTTGTATCTCTCAATGATGTCACCCCTTAGCTTTCACAGTTCCAAGAAAAACAACCCCAACCTCTCCAATCGCTACAGTTCTCCAGCCCTGGTTTTTTTAACCACATCCTCACTGATTACCTCCTATTTATTTTCAGATTGGTTTGTGATGTGAGTTTAGATTCTCTCCCTGCCCTAGTGATATTCTCTTGATGAATTCAGCTCTTTGTGCAGTGCGACCCCTGTAGCCTCCTGCCTCAAATCTCCTTTCCCTCGTTCCTTCTCTTCAAAAGCTTCTCCACTTTCCCTCTATTTTAGGGATATTGTCACTGATTTAATAACCATCACCATGGCCCAATTCCAGCCCATTTCCCCCCATGGCCCACAGCTCAATTCCTTGCTGCATTAACCGAGTTATTCTCCTAACATTAAACACACAAACACAATTGAATTCCCTCAAATCTGTTATACAGGACCCATCCAGTCCCTCAACACTTCCTCACAGGAACAGGAGAATGACATTCAGGCCCTTTGACAGGGAATGCTGCAGGTTGTGTAGGGTGATGGTACGCTGTGAGTGGGAATGCTGCAGGTTGTGTAGGGTGACGGTATGCTGTGAGTGAGAATGCTGCAGGTTGTGTAGGGTGACGGTACGCTGTGAGTGGGAATGCTGCAGGTTGTGTAGGGTGACGGTACGCTGTGAGTGAGAATGCTGCAGGTTGTGTAGGGTGACGGTACGCTGTGAGTGGGAATG